AGAATTGCCTACCTTATACCTTCTCAGGCGAGGGAACGTAGAGTTGCCTACCCACGCAAATAGTCGGCGTTAGTGGAGGCATTGGCCCAAACCAGGCGATTTCAGGTCTCGGACTTCCACCGAGTGGTCCTTCGGGTTGCCCCTATTTTAGATATTGTTATGTATATAATATCCTCTAGATCTTTTTAATTCGGACTTCTTGACCCGGACTTTTTTTTTTACCTCGATTCGATTATGTTACTATACTAACATTACATTTATTATATTCTATTTAGTGTTTACAAACATTGGGCACATGAAAAGTTGTCAAGCACTGTACTGCAAAAATTTGGCACTAGATCCAAAAAAGGTTTGTCACCCTTGCCTTGTAAGGAGCATTTTATTAACTTTTCATACTGTTTGACACATCAAAACCTTTTTTATTGATATTTTAAAAGGTGAAAATATAAAGGAAAAAAGATAAGAAAGTGGATACCACTCTGCTGTAAATTAAATGTATAGTGGGTCACTATAAGATAAGTAATTAAAAATGTTTGATGCTGATGAGTTTTGTTAAAATTTGATGTTTATACGATTATAAAAATTAAACATTAGTAATACATAATATCTGCAATATATTAAAGGATGCGATAATGATCGTTTTAAAAAATGGTGATGTTTTTTTAAATTATTAAACAAATTTTCATTTGTTTATGCATTCGGATTGTGTAATGTATGTGTAGTAACCAATAAGCGATCATCAGTGTGAGAGAATGTATGATAATTTAAGGGGATTCGATACCGATCGTTATTTCGACTAAAACATAACAATATTTTGTCCATCAGTCCGGTGGACCAAATGATGCGATAAGATATTTAAAAACTGATTTGTTATGTCTTCTTGTGAACGGTCACGCCACTTTTTCATATACAGTAAAATCTCTCTATAACGGGTGGTACCAAACATTTTTCCATTATAAAGAGTTTTTCGTCATAAAGAGGTAAAAGTTACATAATATATGTTATTTGCACCGGGACTATTGACATTTTCCGTTATAAGGAAGATTCCGCTTAATAGAGGGTCCGTTATAGAGAGGTTTTACTGTAATGGCTTTTTGAGTTTATAAATTGACCATACAAGCAGGTTTTGTCGTCAATTGGGGGACTTAAACCCAGGGAAGAAGTAACACTATTGTATGTACAAAATAACTGGTCGTCAGAAATGTATAAATTTCAGTTGGCATTCAGATTATCGATTAGTCCTGCCAAATGTTCAAAATTAAATTGTAATAAACTAATAATATATAAAACAATTTTGGTTAGACAAATTATTACCAAACTGAAATTATTTTTTATTTAAATTTCCAGAAAATTTAATGTTAACACACCTTCAGCATCAGATTCTGAGAGGAGCGATGATTTTACAATGACGTTTTTTTTCTCTGTGTCTGTATACACAATAAGTTATCGAAATTATGATTCAATTTTCAACTTCAGTAGCTTTCTGAAAACCCCTGTAGTTTTCAAATGCTCCGATATAAACAAAAATATATATTAACAAAAAACGGAAATTTTTACGTAAAAACAATTTTTGACAACTTTGATTTTGGATATTGGTGTAGTATCTCTATAAAAAATTACCGGAGATACATGCAATTTTTACTGATTGTTTATACTAGCATTTTATATTCTTGATTATATTTTAAAAATTTTAAAAGTTATTTATAGACATTTGAAATTTTCAATTTATTTAGTTTTTTTTTTTTTCTATAGATGTCGATAAAACTTTTTTCCTTTTGTAAACAGCTTCGAAATTTAATAAAAGACACCATATATATTATTTCAATGGTAATATTAAGAAATATTAAAATTACATTGCCAAAATTTGCTTTTTATAAGCATTAAAAGTTAAGTGTTTAAACAAAATACGTAAAAATCACAAAAATGTGAAAATTATTTTGAGTTAGAAATTCATAAAATTTTATCTTTTTAAATCTAAGATTTAAAAATTTTATACAAGATGCCTTATAAGTTCGTCTAATTTTATCAAATAAAAATTTCTGCCGGAAAATAAATTAAAATTTTTATAAGCATTTGAATTTTAAATTTTTACAACATTGGAAATTCATTAAATTTTTCTTGTACCGATATTCATATTTGTAGTCATTCAAAAACGAATCACTGTATCAACGTGAAATTTACACTATATTAATTATTTAGCACGGTTTGTTTATAGTTTAATACAATTCAAACTTGGATGAATTTACATATTATATATATAATTAATTTTTAATATAAAATATCCTAAACTGACAATTCGTCTACGATCAGAATTGTTTTTCGTATTTAAAGATACTATATCATTGAATTCAAATATAATAGCATCCATTACAGTAACCCAATTATTGTAATAACCGACTGTACAGCAGAGCGTTATTCGCTTACCCCTTTTTTTATTGAATCTATACCATGATAACAATAAAGTTAACGTATTAATTAATAAATATTAACTTACTCTTAAAGGTTGTAAAACTGTTTAGCAACACTATTAAATTTTAAAATTATACGATTATTTTTATGGTTCATTTAAATATAATTATCCATTCATGAAACACTAAATGTTATATTAAAGAATACTACTGTTTCATTAAATATTTAGTGTTTATAAATAATTTATAGATAATTTTTTATGTGATATCTCAATAAATTATTTTCCAGTTTTGTTAATTTATTTGACTTTCTAGGCGGGCTTTGAAAGATTCATCCTAAAAAGATCGCTGAACAAAAAACAAAAATCTTGAACATATTTTGCCGAAGAATTTTTACTATTGTGGTACCTATGGATAATAAAGTATTTTGAAATTTTAAAAATGTATTACATAAGTAATTATAAGATTTTATGCTACATATAAATTAATTTAATAAAGTTAACTTTTATTATTTGTGAAATATAACATTATAGTTCGCGACCGAGCACCTAATCACCATATACACTACTATTATTATCAGAGACCAACCGACCAATACAGCAAAAACACACACACGCGCACACATCAAACTTTTGAATTGTCATTATTTTTGTATTTTTGGCATTACATAATTGTGTTGTGAATTATATAATAATATATTAAGACGACCCGTGATTCATTATCGGTCACCACCGGTTTGTCAACTAAAAACAATAGCAGTCGTTCGTAAGATTTGTGTGCACATATTTCAACACGCAAGTGGACACTTTATATTTTTTTGTACCTGAGCGTAAACTCAACTTGTAATACCTATAACCATAGTAATATTGTGAATGTCTTTATAATCTCTAAGGGACATGTAGCTGCTAGACAGCATTGCTCCGTCAATCGGTGACTTTTTATCGTTTTATTTTAATATWTTATATTATTGTCTCTTGTTGGTTCCCAGAAGAAGTGTAGAAATCATTAAATATCAGAAGTTTATCTTTACGTTTTTATTATTAATAATATTTATCAACTGGCCAAAAAAGGTCTAAATTGTCATATTTTCATCAATTTATATTTATAAAAGTGCTTGAGCTTAATAGCTGCACATAAACATTTTTTACCTGATTGGCTAAGAAGTCCATAGTTATTATCGAATCGTGTATACCTATTATTATATATTTTTCTAAACCCTTGATTTTCTGTAAATGAAAACTGTTTATTATTTAAATTTGGGTATTATACAGCAACAAATAATCAAAAATTGTTATCATTTATTTGAATTACCCCTTACCATTAGTTTTAAATATGCACACACCACCCATAGACTAGCACTCATTGAGCTGTTTGGCGAATGCGTCAATTTCCTTTGAGCCTTGCTACACATATATACACACACATTATACAGCTCGGTCGGTGTGCGTCAAGTCAGGTATTATAGGCGTTGCTGAGTACATACGGTGCCCGGGCGCTAACCATGTTATTGTAGCGTTTCCGGCTTGATCAATATTTATATAATAATATACTAAAAAGTTACTTTCGTAGAATAATTGATACATTCTTTTACAGATACTTTTCTAATAGTTATAATAATAAATGAACACGGCAAATCGAATTTAAAACAGAAATCAACGTCAATCAAATTAGGATTATGATCATTGATCTCAAACATAAAGAAAACGCAATATGAGATATCGACCTTTTATTTTTTTTAAGAATATCAGAATATTATAAACATTTTAACTTCAGTAATATTTATTTATTAAATATTATTTATTAACTTTAAATATTACCATGACAGAAATCTAAAAACAAAACATTGTGTTATTCCATATTGTCATCGATTTACTACAAATTACGGTATAATATATTCACATTATAGACTATAARAATATATAAACTGTGCGATTTTTTTTATATACTTAGGTACTTCATTTATTTTTAAATCAATTTTTAAGATTATTTTCTAAGCCTATGTAGAAAAATAAATGAAGTTATTGTTAACATTATTAATTCAGTGTTATTTGACTAAATCAAAATTAAGTTTTACAATATGTCAAACAAATTGTATAAGTTATAAAATTTGTAATTAACTTCTAATATATTTACTTCTGCTTGAAAATACTCTTTTTTTTTAAATGGAATTTACAATCTATACTACTTTGGCACAACAATTAGATGTGAGTAGTATGAAATAGCCGATTCTGAAACCTGAGCCCTGAGCCAACTGAGCCTCATCCCGCATCCCGCGTACGTGTGCGACGTGTATTTTCTCCCCACCACCGTTATCCTCATCCCGCTCTACGTACGTGTGCGTTATTGCTATCATATTATTGACTGAGCCAACTGAGCCTGATACCTCAACCCTCAACCCTCAACCACCACCGCCCCTACCGCCACCACCGCCACCGCCACTATACCATTATAATTGAAAAATGCCCCCACCTATTATAGAGACTCCTGACTGAAAGAACCGTTTAGTCCGTTTTAAACCGTTGTGCACGTATTTTTTCTTTTCAAGTCTTTAAAATTTTTAGTGAGTTTTTATTTTCAAAAATAATTTTAATCATGGCTGGTTCAATTGGAAACATGGCTGCAGTGTACAAGAAGAATTTCACATATGTTCCACCATCACCACCGGCTGACCTCATCGAAACTACATGCTACACACTGRATTTTGCGAACCGTAAATTTGTGCATATCGGTATTGATCCGAGCGAAAATTACGAAGTCGTAAATATATTTACTTCATCGCGGCATGTCAAAATATTGCCTGATTTTCTCCGGCGTATATTTTCACTGATAGGTAATATGCTGTCATTCGTATTGGAGCAGACACTAACATATAAGCGCACGTTATTTTTAGAAACCGAACTTTATAAAATATCCAGTATGGTGTATGGCGGAGAAAATGTGATAGTGATAGAATCAAAAACTCAGGACGGGTGCAGAGTACTGTTGCATCGGAAGGACCTTATTCGTCTTCAATATCTCGAATGTTGTATTTTCGAAAGTATCGTAAGGAAATCAATATACACTGCTCAATTAGTTATAAAACAGACTGATGAGTTTGCGACATACCTACGTGATAAATGCAATCTCCTTAAATCGCCACCGAAAAATTTAGAAGAGATAATGGTATACGTTAAGAACACGCAAGACGAACGAATGGACAAATCTTTCCCAAACTTCTTATTCTTCTTCTTTACCAAAGGCCATGCCTTGTCGTTGCAAATCTGGTACGCCATATGGTTGTCCTTCATTGCTTAATGTTTGGGAAAATTAATACAGTGGTTTCCCGTTGCCTTCTGTATCGCAATGACATCACTTATAACTAAGTGATGCTATTCAAGTAAAGATGAATCTCTACTTGATRCTAAYAATGTTGCTGSCCATTGTTAGATCCATTTTGGTCGCCTTTTACGACGGCATGGACTGCCGTGGGTGTATTCTGATCCCCCCCCCCAGGGATTTCCCAAACTTAACCGGTCAAATACAAATGTTCGCAGCTAAACAACTAGCAGCATCTTTGCTAAATCGGTCGACACACGAGGAAATTCATAAATTTAATATATTATATTAAAATATTTAATACCATTTTATTTTTTTTTATTTTAGTCGCAGAATGGAGAAATAGATTCCCCAATGTCGCCAAGTATTACCAATATATTCGGCATGCACGATGACCCGCTTACATACGCTACTCTTAGACCGTTAGATGTAATTTATATAATCATATTTTTTTAAATAAAAACATTATTTAATTGTAATTTTTTTTTTTCAGCTAATAGATAATATTGAAGTGCCAGACGGGGTTGAGCAGTCGTTCGACGTAAACGATGGACCAGATTTTTTCAGGGCGCAATCACCATCTCAAGTCATTACGNCGCAATCACCATCTCAAGTCATTACGCCACCGCCATATCAATTACCATTCGCCGAACACCCAGCACCAGTGCGCAATGTTAAGCGGCGACTATTTTAATATTTGTTCATAAAACATAATTTATATGAAAATAAAATAAGCGTGATACTTAAAATAAGTTTTTTTATTATTAGAAAATAATATTTACAAGGTATAAAAATAATTATAAGATATTTACAAGGTTTATAATTTTCTAATATCTCCACTAAACGGATTGTAAGTTATAATCTGGTCATGTAGTATTAAACAATAAGCTGCAGTTTTTTCTGGAATAACTGTGTCCGTTTCAAAGTCTATTCGTAGGTCCACGGTCGATGATTTCACGTTATCATTCTGGTACGACAAATCAACAACGACGATTGGCACATAGTTTTGAAAAATATGTTTTGATAACAATGGTTCGCAATAATCTCTTTCGTAATACGATTTTTGAAAGTCTGTATAAGCTTTGTAGAGTATGCTAGTGGTATTATTGTTAAAATCAGCTCGAAAGTCTTCATATGGATACACCTCGGAATTTAAGTGCACCTTAAGATTTTTTAGTTGACAGTGATCAAACCGCCCAGCGTCGGTTTCGATATTGTTTTTTCTACTTGTTAGTAATCCAAACAAAACAAAACTTGGTTTTTCCAGTAAGCTGCTAGACTTAACAGTCCACGAATGAGATGTGTTCCTAGGGAGCACCGGATATTCACATAGATTCCAGGTCCTGAACGCACACGACAGTGTTTTACGAGAATCTAATACTTTCAATAACTTTAATTTTTCTTTTTCACTGACTTTGATAATAGGCATCTTCCAAGTCACCTTAGTCAGTTCAATTGTAATTTTYTTWTTTTTATCGACGGCRGYKGTTGCRCCTTCGCCCACAACATGTATCGCATCAAGGTCGGTAGATGCGCGATTTAAAATCAGTTGCTGATTGCAATTGAGTAATATTTTTTTGTRATCTTCACAAAATCCGAAAACATGTTTTAGAGGAATACACCCGGAAAATATATTATTGGTCATAAAATTTTACTATCTTCACTATCCATTTCCGAGTCCCAAGCCACGTTCTCTAACGCATTCAAATCGTTTTGAGTGTACGATCAGTATGCTTTCAAACATGATGACACTCCGGGTGATTTCAATTTTTGTATTTCTATTCCGTTTATTTCATATCGCGTCTCGGAGAATAAAAATGCCAATCCGTTATTTGAAAAACGAACTTCCCCCGCTGCATCGGCTGGTTTGTTAACTTTACCCTCGATGAAAATATAACTCTCGCACGGCAAAGTGTAAGAATCCATGTTTTGAACATTAATTCTAATTTCCTCATTGTATGATAGAGCTGAGCTTGAATACGACGTGAACGAATGGTAACTCTTTTGAGTTATTTTACAATCGTCGACATAGTTGGCCGTCACGTCTAAATATGAGTCATCAATCATTGTAACGAACGGAGAAAATTTAAATTATTTTTCGTGAGCTTGATATTTTTCGGCTTAGGTGTTGATTTCTTAATGGCGGG